ATTGCTGCAATGGAAGGCAAAGAATGGTGTATATCGAGAAGGATTCACGGAGTTACTAAAATCCAAAAGAAGATGCTTCGAAGGATAACGAATTGCCCAAAGACTACGTGCTGAAGCAAAACAGGTAGTCTGCCCTTTAGGATTAGAAATCTAGAAGATACATGCATGTCCTAATGACTGCATCCTCTACCGTGGCATGGAGTACGAGAAGTTGGATGCATGCCCCGTATGTCATGCGTCGTGGTATAAGATCAGGCGAGATGACCCTGGTGATGTTGAGGGCGAACGTCCCAAGAAGAAAATCCCTGCCAAGGTTATGTGGTATGCTCCTATAATACCACGCTTAAAATGTCTTTTTAGAAACAGAGACCATGTAAAGTTGTTGCTATGGCACAAAGAAGACCGTAAGGTAGACAGTATGTTGAGACACCCTGCTGATGGGTCCCAGTGGAGAGCAATCGATAGAGAATTCCCTGAGTTTGCAAGTGACCCAAGAAACTTAATGTTTGCTTTAAGTACGGATGGTATGAATCCTTTCAGGGAGCAGAGCAGTAGTCACAGCACTTGACCTGTTACTCTATGTATCTACAACCTTCCTCCCTGGTTATGCATGAAGCGTAAGTTTATTATGATGCCGGTGCTCATCCAAGGCCCAAAGCAACCTGGCAATGACATCGATGTGTACCTGAGGCCACTAGTTAAAGAACTTCTACTTTTATAGAACAAGCCAGGTGTACGCATATGGGATGAGCACAAGTAGGAGCACTTTGACCTGCGAGCATTGTTGTTCGTAACAATCAATGATTGGCCATCTCTAAGTAATCTTTCAGGGCAATCAAACATGGGATATAATACATGCACGCACTGTTTCGGTGACATGAAAGGTATATTCTTGAAAAAGTGTCGCAAGGTCGTGTACCTTGGGCATCGACGATTTCTTCCTGCAAATCACCCTGTAAGAAAGAATCTTTGTGTGAACCTGTTAGGCTTCATGGGCGTGTATGGGAAGCCTAAGGACATAATTGAAGCACGACAGGACCTGCGGTGTTTGAAAGAACGAGACAACCTGCATCTAGAGAAGACAGATAATGGACGCCAGTACTTAAGTCCTGCCAGCTACACTCTTAGCAAAGAAGAGAAGGGCAGCTTGTTTGAATGCCTAGATAGCATTAAGGTACCGTCTGGATTCTCCTCGAATATAAAGGGTATAATAAATGTGTCAGAGAAGAAATTTGGACACTTAAAGTCCCATGACTGCCACGTGTTCATGACTCAATTGCTTCCAGTTGCATTAAGAAGAATTCTACCGCCAAATGTACGTCTAGCCACCGTGAAGCTGTGTTGGGATTATGTCACGTTGAAATGATGTGAAAACAAATTTATGTTTGATGGTGGGATTATGTCACGTTCAAATGACGTGAAAACAAATTTTCAGTTGAAACACAAGAGTTTTTCTGAATTTAATTAAACACTATATTTTTGCATTATCAAAATAGTAATTTAAACACTATATTGTGTTTTAAAACTTGTTAAAAAAATTAAAACTTTAGGTCACATAATTTTCCTGTGTGTAATAAAGCAAAATAGAATCTATATTTTTTAAAAATATTTTTATGTCTTTTATTTAATTTTCTATGCAATTAACTATCCTTTTATCATTTGTGTAAAAAGAAATATATTAAAATCCTAATAAATTGGCGGGCAGCGAAACTGCAGTTTGGCTGCCCGCCAAAAACCTTTAGTCCTGGGCGCCACCACCAGCCGGGACTAAAGGTTACCTTTAGTCCGGGGCGCCACCACCAGCCGGGACTAAAGGTGCGACCTTTAGTCCCGGACGTTAACAGGGCCCGGGACTAAAGTGCCTTTAGTCCCGGCTGGTGGTGGCGCCCGGGACTAAAGGTCCTCTCCCTTATATAGCCTCTGCGCCTGCCCTGGCCCCTCTTCTTCCTCCTCCCCACTGCCGAGACAAGCCCTAACAGACCCGCCGCCACTCGTCCGATCCGTCGCCGACGCCGCACCTCGCGAGCGCCCGCATGCACACCGGCGCCCCACCGCCCCGACATCGCACGCCCCGACTAAGTGCGCTCGCCGACATGCCGCCCCCCGACCACCCCGGCCCGGCGCCCCGATGCCCCACCGCCCCGACGCTCGGCCCCGACGCCACACTACGGCCCGGCCCGACGCCATGCCGCCCCTGATGTCGTGCCACGCCCCTGACGCCTCCCCTGACGCACGCCGCCCCTGACGCTCGACGCCACGCCGCCCCTGACGCCACGCCGCCCCTGGCGCCCGATGCCACGCCACCACTGACACTGCATGCACGGCCCTGACGACTCCACCCCGGCCCGGCCGGCCACGACGCTCGCGCCACCACCGACGCCACCCGGCCCAGCCACCGACACCGCCCTCGTCATCACCGCCTCCAGACGCCCATCACCGCCGACCCCTACGTACGTCGATCGTCACCGCCGACCCCTACGTACGTCGATATGTGTTTGTATGTGATATATGCGGAGGAACGCCTCGTTGTGTTGTGTGCGGAGCAACGCCGTCGTTGTGTTGTATGCGGAGCAACGCCGCTTCGTTGTGTTGTATGTGGAGCAACGCCGCCTCGTTGTGTTGTGGCGCGAACAACGCCGCCTCGTTGTGTTGTGGCGCGAGCAACGTCGCCTGTTGTTGTATATGCGAACAACGCTGCCCGTTGTTGTATATGCGAGCAACGCCGCCCGTTGTTGTATACCCTAGCGAGAACGACGATTCGCTCTAGCGAGAACAACGATTCGCCCTAGCGAGAAGCATTTAATTCGCCTGTCGAGCGTAATTGTCGTTCTCGCTAGGGCGAATTCGTCGTTTATATGACTTGTTTACATATATGACTTGTTTATATATATGACTTGTTTATATGACTTGTTTACATATATGACTTGTTTACATATATGATTGTTTACATATATGATTGTTTACATATATGAATTGTTTATATATATGACTTGTTTATATATGTGACTTAGATTTATTTTGTATATGACTTATTGTACATATATGACTTGTTTACATATATGAATTGTTTATATATATGACTTGTTTATATGACTTGTTTATATATGTGACTTAGATTTATTTTGTTTATGACTTATTGTACATATATGACTTGTTTACATATATGACTTGTTTATATATATGTGACTTAGATAAATTTGTATATGACTTATTGTATATATATGACTTGTTTATATATGTGACTTAAATTTTGTTAAATTTGTTAGATATGGCTGCCCCTGGGTGTAATCGCACACAAAGTAAGTACTATAACTACACATTTATATTCAATTAACACCATATGATGATTTCAATTCACCTTAATTGATTTTTTTGTCGTAAAAGTGGGTTCTAAGGCAGGAGCAAGGTAAGATCGTTGCTGTGAGATTGATTCAAGTTTTCATAATTATTTAATTCAAAAGGGATCGTTAATCAGGAACAAATGATGTGAGCACTCAATGCATTTGCTGGTGGTACAATGCAATGAATGTTATATTAATATAGCCTATCTTTAGATCTTTACTGTGTTGAACCTTCTGTAGAAAATCTCTATTTCTTGTGTTAAGTGGGATGCTCTATGTGCTAAAAGGTGATTGTTGATTACTCTATCTGTTAAAGAAATGGTAGCACAGTAAAACAAGATTACAAAATATTGCTACTAAATAAAAAGATGCTCTGTAATCTATGATGTCAGAAATAATATGGTGGATCTTAACCAGATTCTACTACCCTGACAAAGCCTACCTGTCAATAGGCATAATCTATTTCCCATAAATTTTCTTCAAGCTAGTTTTTGGGGATAGTTAAGAATTTGATACTATTGACTTGCATACACCAACAACTCAAGCATCTGGAGAGTACCCACTACTAAATGTGGTAAAAGAAATAACTATTCCAAACAGTTGCACCCAAAGCTTATATTTCAACACTCCCCTCACGTCACTGGATGCTCTCTCAAGCCTCAAATGTTGGAATAGCACCGAGCACAATCAGCTAGGAATCTAACTCGACACCTCCGCCTTGATACCATATTGAGCTGCATGCATTGACCAATTCAACCCACAACCATATTGATTGCAATTCTTGATTTGCCTTCTAGCCCACTTGCATTGACATAGGTGACTTTTGTAATAATCCTAAAAGCTAAATTTAAGAGTTTCGAATTATTGAATGCCCTGGTTTGGGCTCGACTACCATGTTTCGATGCACTCCTGCTTAAAACACAAATGCTCATGAAGATTTCCTTGTTAGCAACACAATGTAAGCAACCAAACATAGTCTTACTAAACGCAGCTTGTTGTACATGGCAAACCAACACAAACACATTACATATGTTTATGCTGGTTCAATTTGCGCTGTATATGGCCTAATGCGGGCAAGACTACTGCAAGCTACCAATCATATCCATGACTACTACAACAACAACAACAACAATAAAGCCTTTAAGTCCCAAACAAATTGGGGTAGGCTAGAGTTGAAACCCAGCAGAAGCAATCAAGGTTCAGGCACGTGAATAGCTATTTTCCAAGCACTCCTATCTAAGGCTAAGTCTTTGGGTATATTCCATCCTTTCAAGTCTCCTTTTATTGCCTCTACCTAAGTCAACTTCGGTCTTCCTCTGCCTCTCTTCACGTTACTATCCTGGCTTATGATTCCACTACGCACCGGTGCCTCCGGAGGTCGCCGTTGGACATGTCCAAACCATCTCTACTATCCATGACTGGTTGCATTTTTTTGGACAATTGTTGTAATTATATTGTAGTAAAATCTATTTTAATAGTTTGATTATAATAGCTTTACCATTTGTTATATATCATTCAACAATAATGTTTTTCCTTATGTTGTTGCTTTTTTCTCAGACGGTGCCTTTTTGTTGTCTTCTTAATGGGACTACTTGTTAAATGAAGGATTTCACATTTTGTTAGTTCCTGAAAGGCAATTATTTTATTCCAGACAGAGAAATGTGGTCATGGATTGTTCTTGAGGATGAAATAAAGAAAAGAGAATTTGTTATTGAGTATGTTGGAGAAGGTATGGTTTTTGTTTAAATGTACTATGAGCAAGTAAATAAATTGCACGGAGGCATATATATTATGATGTATTTCTTCCATTGGATGCTAAACAATCAAACTGACATCCATATATCGTGCAAATGCTTTTAGTTATTGATGACAGAACATGTGAGAATAGGCTATGGACAATGAAAAGGCTGAATGACACTAACTTCTACCTTTGTGAGGTCGGTAGTAATATGGTCATCGATGCAACAAACAAGGGAAACCTGTCCCGATTTATAAACCATAGTTGTGAACCAAACACAAAGATGCAGAAATGGTTAGTTATACTCTATATATGCTCTACTTCCATGATCTCCATTGATGAACATGATACATAACACTAGCATCATGTTATTTCAGGATTTGTTGATGGAGAGACCAGGGTTGGAATTTTCAAGACCGTGACATAAAGATAGGGGAGGAGCTGACCTATGACTATAAGTATGTCCATCCCATTCCTCACTGATCCTATCTTTGCAATCCTTTTAGCTTTTGACAAAGTTGTTTCACCCATTTGGATCTTTAGTTTGGTGTATGTGGAACCGCTCATTGTCTTATGTATGATTTGTCCAGTTTGGAGCAGCTCAAGTTTGTCATTGTGGATCTTGAACTGCAGAAAAATGCTAGGCACGACGAAGTATTCAGGAAGCTCACAGAATCATCATGCCAAGAAGAAAAGAGGAAAACAAATTGTGAGAATTGCATACACAGCAGTTTCTTCGTCTGTGGCATCCACAGCAAAAAATGTAGGCCTCGATAATCACAATCTTTTTCACTCTTTTAGCTATATATAATCTTTACGATTTTGCAACATTACCCCTCGACTTGGTTAATGTACTCATTGTTAATGTAAAAAGGGGACTAGCTTTGAGGACTTCCTAAGAATACATTTCACCTTCCTTCAGTGTTTTCATGATTATTCATTGTCTTTGAGTATATGCATAGGCTTTTTATCATGTTTGGTGCCTATCGATTGAGGAAGTTGATCGATCATCATTGTCCTCTTATTATTGTGATATTTTTTTTGTGGATTTTTACCTTGTCTTTCCCAATATTATTCCTTCAGGTATGTTGGATGTTGGATAGTTGACTTCGATCAAGAAACTAAAATGCATATTGTAAGTTTATTAATGATTACTTTGTCACTCTATAAACTATATTATTTCTTATGAGTATTTTGTATTTTCTTTGTATAAATTCAGCTGCAGTTCATTGATCTCCATACTGAAAAGTTTGATTTGAAAGAAGAAGAATGGCACTTCTTAGAGGTATGACAGTCATTTATAGATTTTGGTTTCCATCCTGAAAGGTTACCATGACATTGCTAGCTCAGGCTTTGGCTTTTGTTGTTGATGCTAGATGTGGTGATTGGTCAACATTTTTGTTGTTCATTGTAATATAGTTTTTAGAGTATCTTGCATGAATTTAGTAGTTTTACATCTCTGAGGTACTTACAAGGTCAGTAGAGAACATGCTCAGACTTTGCTGCATAACATTATAATAGGGCATTCATGGAAAGGCTGTCCTTGTGGTTTGTTTGTTACATCATGTGTGCTCCTATTCAAGGTACTAGATACCAACTTCTGATCGTACTAATGTGGATGCCGATACCACTAATTGGACTGGGATCATGACTGATGGGTCTAGAAAGATTAAATTTCATGTTTAGGATAGGGAGTTCATGTAAGGATTCGATGGGTGTATATTATATTCATACTTTCGATATTTTCAACAGTTGCATATCCAGACTGGTGTTGAAGTTGAATTACATTGTTCTGGGATCCATATTTGCCTGGAACTTTTATTGGGCATAAAATTGGTTTGTTATGGTATCTTGGCCAATTGTAAGTATTTGTATTTCATGACTAATTTTGAGCAATGTTTTATAAAAATGGTCAGCTATTTTTTTTACATTGTTACCTCTCCAGTGCAAGTCAGATGACACATTACGTGTTAGTTTCCAGTTAAGATATTTATAGATGTTCTAGGTAGTCAGTGAAATGGCTGTATTGATAGACGGTTGGGATTAATGTTACCACTGAATTCAATACATATTTCCAATGTGCCACTATCTTTCATTACTCGAATCACCCTTCCATCTAAAGAAAAGTTAGATTCACCACCAGTTTTATTCTTACTCTATTAGGCTTTTGATATGATGGTTTTCTGGTTATAAGAATCTGCATGTATACTCATGCACCTGCAATATTGGCATTCTACCACATGGAGCATTGTCATCAAATTGTCAAATAATCACCAATTAGCCATCCAGTTTGTGCCTTTGACTAAACTGGCTAAACAAGTCATCTGACTTGTATCATTGACCAGGCCATTTTGATCAGATGATTTTCTGCTGGAAAAGGCAAATGAAGGAAACAGTAGAGCATTGCTGAATGCTGAGCCCTCCAACATAGGGGCAAGGCTGATTGTTGAGCAATGCTTCTCTTGCTACTGCTACCTTCAACTTCAAAAAGTAGTTCTAGAGTTGAAGGTGATACTGTCCACTCTTCTTCTAGTTCCTCTCACTGCCATGCCTAAGGAGGTTTGAGGGCTAAGTGTTGGAGTCCAGCAGCATGTGGAATCATCCTTAATGTAGGGTTGACATGGAGCAGACAGGGATGGCAGGGGAGGCAAAATTCATCAATGGAGCCTTCTCAGCAGTGGCCGCACATCTGCTTCCTGTTGACCTGTCTTTTCTCTGGTTGCTTCACCATCACCATCACCACCACCCCCATCCACCTCCACCTTCTCTTCTTTCTCCTACTTTCAATTCCACCTGGCCCAGGTGGTCCTATGCCACTCTGCCTAGTCTGATTAATGTTGCCTTTGACCATCTAGGTGCTCTAGCTACGCTGGTCATGGTGTCATTATTACCCTGAGCGCCTGAGCAACTGCATCATGTTGCCTTTAATTTGGATTTTGTAACGTTGGCCTTAACTTATACCATTGGTTCGTGTGGTTTGATATATATATATATATATATATATATATATATATATTTATTTATTTATTTATTTATTTATTTATCTCCCAACAACACCATTGTTATACCTTAAGTACTTCATGTGGAGAAACTTAATTTGAGCACAACTATTTTCCATCATGGAGGCAAAACATGATAAAAAGGAAGATTTTTAAAGAATGAAATTACTAACATGATGCTCACTGGATGGGGAAAAATTTAGGAGATGGTCCATGTGTTTGGCCAGATGAGCAACGAATGTTATAACTACTAGATTTTTTATCAGATGGTAAATCATGACTTAATACCTCATTACATCTGGGTCTCTGTCTGTTCAAGTCATTTTGATCTGTTCCAGAAAGTACTCCCTCTGGTAATTGGAAAAACTACAAACATCAATTACATTAAAATTATTTAGTTTCGAAACATGCAAGATATATGTGTAGATTTGTATTGGAAAACATTTGAAAGATCTCATAAATTTGGAAGATTTAAGAACAAATGCTAGAAGATACTAGTGGTCAAAGGTATGCATCGAAGACAATACAAAGTCAAATTTGTCAGATATTTTTTACTGGAGGTAGTAATTGACAGTGGCCAGTTTTTGTAAACCTAAAAGATCTAGAAATTGTAAAATTCGTTAATAAAACAGGAATAAATAACCACTAAATTAGTAGTCTCCCTTAAGACTTCTGAAATCTGGAGATAAGATACTACAATTTGAATTTGACTATTACCATACAAAAGGTTTAATATCACAAGGTGGAAGATGAAGTCCAACTTTGTTGAATTTGACTATTAGTAATATCCAAAGTTTGCATTGTTAGACCCCACAGGTTCTAACATCTAAGGTGTTAGATGAAAAAAAAATAGAGGGACGATGCTCAATGAACAAAGGTTTTAACTTCAAACCATTTTACTTCAATTATTCTAATGTGCTATACCACACAGTATTACTCTCTTTTTTCTTTTCTGTTCTTTTGTGAGATTGTTAGACACTGTTTCCAAGCCTATACATGTTTCTGCAGTTACTATTACTATAAACTATAAATGTTGCTTGTGCTCTAGCCAAATACACGCTAAAGATTTATGAAGCATTCAGTTAGTGAAAATTAAGGGCATGAATGTTGGTACTTAAATGCCTTGGACTAGGAAAGGACTTGACCCTCTATTTTGTCCCATCAATTATGTACCATCTTCCTTTAAATCCTTCCCTACTTTTGCTCCCTATCTTAACTTCCAACCAAGTCCATAATGTAACTGATCCAGCAAACAGACAATTTTACTTCTCTTGGGATTGACTTGTGCTCTTTGTGCCTTTTCTTCTGAGAAGACTAATTAAGCAAATTATATGCCTTTTTTTTTTGTTCTTCAGTACCCATGGAAAATGCATGGGGAATTTATCTGATATGCTGATTCTTCTTCTTGTGCTGCTGATGATTTTGTCAAACCAAAGGCTGTGACAAATTGAAAACAATTCTTTTCAGTTGCATAGAGAAATGTGTAGAAGCTAACTTATCATTGTATAATTACAGGTTGATTTCGACGAAGATTGATCATTGAAGGTAACTGTAAGAGTTCACTACCACAATTCTGTTTTTGTAATCAGACCATTCTTTTATGCAAATCCCAGTGTCAATCATAGTTTGCGAAAGATATTTTCCCATCCTTTTTGCTTTACTTTGTTGTTCAGTTATATTGCATTCTTACACTAGGAATAGTCGTGCAAGAGATATTGGCATGAGATGTGGTTTAAGTCTCAACTTCCAATTATGCAATGCATCTTTGGAAATGTAATCTGGTCAGTTACCTTTAGAGGATGACTGACTTCGGGAGAGTTTTCTTTTTTATATATTTTTATTTTGCTTCGGCATCATCTGTTCTAATGGGTTTTGTAATCAGACTCCGTACCGTGGTTGGACGTGTGCTATTTAAACTTGTTTGAGTATGGGTTGTGAGTTTGGGTTACGGATGGGACAATAAACCTGTTAGCACTTTACTCTCTAATTCATCATGTACTACTACTAAAACCGGCTAGGACTCTTATGCTCTGAAGAGTGGACGAACACATGGACAGGGAGAGTGCGATGAACCAAAATTTGTTGAAAGCAATTTTCGCTTTTTAATATTAGGTATAGATGGATGATAAACCACATCCATTTCCATTTTTTTTTTGGAAAAAAATAATGGAAAAATAAACTATGTACCTCCTACCTTGCAGTAGTGCTGCTTTAGACAAGCTGCAGGCCTGAGTGTCTGCATCACATGTTTGTTAGCCACCGCTCTTTGAGCCGTGACTAATTGGAGTTGGTTCTTTTTTCACAGGATTGTCATGGTTTGCTGCACTGCCCGCCTACCTTGGATTCATTTGCAATCGCAGCATAGACAAACGGATGGCCAGTTTTCTCCCATTTGGAGTCTACTGCAACCCTGAAATGTGATATTCGTGTATGCCCTTGGGCATCAACATCATAAACTGTAACCGCTGCTTCCAGCTGCCCGACTGGACCAGCATGCCACCCCACCGCCAATTGCATTGTTCATTGCGCATCCTGTGACGCTTAGAAACAAAATAAAGTCTTACTGGAGTGTAGTGTACTTGAGAGCAGATTATATGTCGTGACTGTTAATAGGAATGTTGGTTGTTTGAGAGCAGATTATATGTCGTGACTGTTAATAGGAATGTTGGTTGTGCCTGCTGTTGTTGCATGCCCTGAGGAAACATGGAGGCGGCATGATCGAAGTGATTTGTCATTTGTCTCCTGGGTAGCCGCAGGTTGATCGACGCATGCATGAGGAGAGATAGGCCAAAAACGGCTGCTGTGTACTAGAAGACAGTTGTACAACCCCCTGTAACTTAGTGTATTTTTGTAGTTAACGTTTCCTTGTCCGTATTCTGTATTATGGAATGTTTCACTGAAGAAATGTATTCTGTATTGTGGGAAGGTGTTATTTGGTAATGAAATACAGTAGTGCATCCATTGGTGTGTAGTTTGTTCTCGAAAGAAATGTCTTACTGTTGCTAGAGAGGTGGTGAAGTTTTACGGTGGGGGTAGGGAAAATGTTTTCTTGAGTTCAAGCAGAATTTATTTTACAAATAGAGATGCCGGCATGTCTCCTTCCATCACTTCAATGCAAACGGTCACACTGGTAATCTGTGCGTGCCATGACAGGGAGTAGAGACTAGGGACAGCAAGTAAGCAGACTGACTGCTGGAGGTGAGCACCTCCGTGGTAGCTGCTGGCATTGGCATTGGCACTGGGAGCAATGCTTGCAATGCCGATGCATATGCATACACGATTGGAGGAAGAGTATGTTGAACTCGTGCAAAAATATCTTGCACAACAGGCAGATATGACGGCTAATGAGGTAGTGATCCAGCCGAAGAAGCCCAAAGATGTTGAACAAACGGGGGATCTGTCTGTTTTAGTTGGGATTGGTCGCGAAATCCTTGTGCTGCTGAAGTGCATTTTAGCTTTAGTGTTTTTAGTGGTAGTTGGGATTGTCTACATTGTAGCGAGGCTTTCTTAAATTTATAGTTTTTGTGGTGGTATGCATGTTTTATAATTAACTAATTATGTTCTAGGTTTTAATACGGTATTTATGTCAGGTAATGCAGATGAGTCGGCATTGGATGTACAATGCTGATCGTCGCTCCCAAGAGTTCATGGACGGCGTGCATTCTTTGTTACATGCGGCTGAGGCAAACAAACACAATGGTTTCATGTGCTGCCCATGTGCCGTATGTAAGAATACGATGGAATATGCTAACTTAAAGACTCTTTATTCACACTTGTTCAAGTCGGGTTTCATGCCAAACTATATTTGTTGGACGAAGCACGGAGAAACCGGAGTTGTAATGGAAGAAGGTGAAGAAGAACAATGGGGCGATGATGACATTTTTGCTGAATATGGTGCCTTCAATGATACTGCAATGGGGGAAGCTGAAGAAGAGGTGGGGGCAAAGGAGAAGCCCGCTGAAGAAGAGGTGGGGGCAGAGGAGAAGCCCGTTGAAGAAGAGGTAGGGGCAGAGGAGGAGGCCGCTGACGATCTTGGTTAGGCCATTCGTGACGCACAAAGAGAATGCGAAAGTGAAAAGGAGAAGATCAAGTTCGACCGCATGCTAGAGGATCACAAGAAATTGCTATACCCAACTTGTGATGCGGGGCAGAAAAAGTTAGGTACCACATTGGAATTGCTGCAATGGAAGGCAAAGAATGGTGTATCTGAGAAGGGATTCACGGAGTTACTAAAAATCCAAAAGAAGATGCTTCCGAAGGATAACGAATTGCCCAGCACTACGTACGAAGCAAAACAGGTAGTCTGCCCTTTAGGATTAGAAATCTAGAAGATACATACATGTCCTAATGACTGCATCCTCTACCGTGGCATGGAGTACGAGAAGTTGGATGCGTGCCCTGTATGTCATGCGTCGTGGTATAAGATCAGGCGAGATGACCCTGGTGATGTTGAGGGCGAACGTCCCAAGAAGAAAATCCCTGCCAAGGTTATGTGGTATGCTCCTATAATACCACGCTTAAAATATCTTTTTAGAAACAGAGACCATGTAAAGTTGTTGCTATGGC